TTATAGGAACGTATACAGATATTTGTAGACCTAGTTATCCACCAAGTGGATTGTTTAGATATTTAATGGTCCTAACAAATGTTTCCTCTATATGGTCTCATGTGTGTCTATTATTATCTCTCAACTTGATGTTTGCAAAAATATTGGCACAAATAATATGTTTACAGACACAATTTTCTTCAGATTAGTTCATTTAATGATGGGATCACGACTCACCTAAAGGGTAAAGTAATTGAGAAGAAATATATGAAAATTACTCTTGGAGTAATAAAAATGAAATTTAGTCATATAATACTAAATCGGAAAAATACTAAAGCAAAAGGCACATGACGTAGTAAACTTGGAATTTACGAGTACTAATAATTTTATTAGTTGGCATGAATAATTTGGTCATCCCAAAGATGTACATACTGAGTAATGGACATACATTGAAAAACTAGAAGATTCTTCAAGAATTCTTACGTTGCTTGTTCTCGTGATAAAGTTGATTGGATCAACTAAAGTTGGGACTAAATCCCTAAATTCTGAAAAGTATAAAAGGTGAATATGGACCCGTTTACCTATCATGTGATATGATAAAAAGATGCATCAATAAGATAATCACATGTCCGTTTGTTGTCAACCAATAGTTTGACGTTAGTTAAGAGCACAATTTCAAAATATGTAATCAAGACAATTTATCTTGATATTATTGATAAATACTCAAGATGTTGTGACATTAAATGTCTGAGATAGTGAAATCATTGACTGTGAAAATAAAGCTTCATGTGTTGATTTGAAATATGATACTACATAAAAAAGTAATTGTATGCATCAAACCAATAAATTATAATCAGATTTTTTTTCAATTGATTTATGATCAGGGACCAAATACTTTTATCTGATTATTTTGGTATGTAGTATATAATCAATGAATATACAATGATTCACAAAGATAGATTCTCCAAAAGATTGAGATATATGTTAGTTTATCGTATTGTGAATCGATACAAAATAATATATCGTTGACGATATCTTTGATACAATAGCGCCCAATATTGTCTATGAATTCTACATCTATTAAAGCATGCTTATGTAGAAATAATTATCAACTGAAAAGTGAAATGATGTATCTTGGTAAGCGTAAAGCTTATTTGACTTGCAATTTAGGCACTAGAAGATGTCATACATCTAATATTGAATGTTGTTACTTGACAAAATTGATACGAAAATATCCAATGGGTTCAAAATATAAAGCATATACAAGTTTTTGGAAAACTTGTTTATCATCCTCATAAGGATTAAATAGATTCAAAATGCATAGAGCATATACAAGTATTATTATGCAAGTTGATGACTAGAATTGAAACTCTTGGCAATGAGGTTTTAACCAAACTAAGTCATTATATAAAGTCATTCACCAAAATAATATGTTTTTTTAAAATTTTACAAAACTAGTATAAACGTATTCCACAGTAACGTTTTAGGATATATTTTATTTTTTAAAAGTTGATGGCGTCAGATTGATATATGTTACACACAGTAACGTTTTACTCCTAAAACGTTACTTATAGTAACATTTTACT